TCAACAAGGAGATGACGCATTCTAGCATACCCTCAAGAGTGAGGTGTAGCTGACGAAGGGTCCTAATAGTTTCTCTTAGCCACTGATCGGATGCTATGGGGTTATTGTCTACTGATCTAAAAAAGTTTTTAGTCTGATACCTCCAAATCCTCTCAACTGGGGACTCCTGGTGTGTTACAACGGGAGGGGCTGGCAGAGTTGGCTGGGTGGGTGGGGTAGCAGGTATCCTGGGAAGGGTTCTAGCTATGCACCTTAGGATAGCAGTCATCTCCCTAAATAAGGTCACCTCCTCAACTCACGTGTCCCTGGGCTCCTCAAACTCTATTTCTGGGACGAAATCATCGCCCAAATCACCCGGTAATGAAGCCCTATTCTCGAATCTACCCTCTTGACTATGGCTAGGGCTCTCATCCATAGTTAAAACTCTGAAATTTAAAGAATAACAAGAAGTTACTATCACTATTCCAAACGCAGAAGTACTCTTAACATCCCTAGAAGCATGTATACTCATAGACTTTTACTGACTCTAACCCGCAGGCCTTAGGAACGTATAAACCTGGCGTTTTGATACCACTAAATGTAACACCCTTAACTAGTACGACACATAGTCGATCAACTAGAATGCCACGCAAAACAACCAAAGTCGCTAACCAAAAATTTGCTTTAATTTCTTAATCGAAATTTTTTCTTGAAAATAATCAAAATAAAATAAAGCAACCACCTTTATATAAAATATAGTATACATCATAAAATCCCAAAAATAATAATTCAAATTATACAGACCATTGTTCAAAATAATTATGACTGGAATATATAAAATAGGGGTCTACAAATATACATGCCCTCTAAAGAGGAACTTGGGACGTACTCTGTTGTACTAGGTTTGGATCTCATTGCTATGAGGCTTCTTTGACTGCTCCTCTACTAACCTGCATAAGGAAGCAAATTCTAAACGTTGAGCTAACTAGCCCAGTGCCACACTAACAACTAAGTAATACTAAAAGTGTTTATCAAATGCTCAAGCTAACTGGTAAAAATGTAATAGTGAGTATACTTGTATACTGCACTCTCTACTCTATGGTAGACATCATGGTACGGTTGAGGATTCTACATCTCATAGCTCCGTACCCCTCTAGTCTACCGAGGTGAGGCCTAAAATCTGTACATCAAACACAACACCCTCGATTAACCCACCCCTTGTTAGTGTCAAGGCTCGGCCCTAGTTAGTCAATTTAAAGTGCCTCGCACATTACCTAAGGATATACAAAATGTTTATATTTATCAGTACTAGTATCATTTCTAAAGTAACATGGGTGTCATGATCGTTTTCCTAAGTGTACAACCAAGGCTAGTTTTATTTAATCCTAGCAATTATTGTTACTATCATTCTGATATAAATTATTTTTATCACTTGGAGTCTTATTCGATGTTATTTTAAGTATGTGGGGTACCTCAAATCTGATCCCTTAAACCTTGGATTAATTATCCAAAAATGTTCGTGGGTACCGATATTGACCCTTTAGTATTGATACCCACCAACTGGAATCGATACCCCCAAACTGATAAAAGTTATTTGAGTAGAGTAGTATTGATACTTTAAACTAAGTATCGATATTTTTGTATTGGAGTATCGATACTTACCTGAGTATCGATACCAAATTTTGGTTTGGTGTTTTGAAAAATCACCTAGTATCGATACTCCTATGGGGAGTATCGGTACTTAATGAATTAGTATCGATGCCCTCTCTACAAAATTTCCTAATTTAAAACCTAGAAGATAAACAGTATCAATATTGTTCTTACAGTATGGATACCATCGTTATAAACTACCTTGTTTTGCCACGAAAACACTTGTCTAGCCACCCAAAAAGTCCTATTGATGTCCGTAATTAGTGTTTAAGTGTTTTATTGATTTTAGGGGTCATAAAGAAGGCTTTGAAACATACTATAACACTATAACATAAGATTTACCATGGCATTGCTCAGCATGCTTCAACTTAAACTCTTAAGCTATAATGCATCTCTAATAACTCACAAGTGATATGAAGGAGTTGTAAATGTGTTACCTTGATTCTTGGTTGCTAAGAAGGCTCTCAAATCACTCAAGAGACAACTTTCTCTTTTCCCCTTGTTCTTGAGCTTTCTCCCACTTCTTTCACTAATCAAAGGTAAGAAAATGTGTTACTAACTCAACTAAGTGGTTGGATTAATGCTAATAACGTTTCCTATAACTTAAAAATCCACTAGAAAAAGCCAAATTCATCCATTCTCTTGAACCTCTCAAAAGCCCATTTTTGGAAACTAAGTGAAAAACTTAAGAAATAGGGCTTGAATTGAAGCTTGAAGATTGGAGATTAATAATCTTACCTTGGTTAACCAAACTTACACTTCAAACTTCTATAATCTCAACTTGGAATGGAAAAAGAAGAGAGAAAAGACAGAATGAAGAAGAAGAGTGTTTGGTGAGAAAATAAGGGAGAGTAGTTCACGTTAACCTTATAAAAATAGGGGGTTTCAACTTTTAATTTAAACTATAGGTAAATTACACTTTTAATCCCTCTATTTTTAGTTTTAACTTAAAATCATCCCCAACCCTTTGGCCCAACTCAAGCCTACTCTCTTCTTAAATAAGTCCAAACTATTCTAATGGGTCCTTTGGCCCAATTTACGGGTCTCGGTTTGACCCGAACTACTAACCCAGTATTCATGACGTTATAATTTTTTATGGTATAATTTCTAATATTTTTTATAAAGTACATAATGGAGATGTTACATTAAAGTAAATAAAAAAAGTTGTTGTTAAATTAGTATTTATATGTTGAAAGATATCGTGCTTGAATTGATAACGGCAAAGACGGGGTTGATGGCTAAATAATACTCCATGTATATATCATTATTATGTATGATAGAATAAAATATTTTTTTATTTTAATTTTATTAAAATTAAGACCAAATTGATAGAATATATAAGTAATAGTGACCAAATGTGTAATTATACCAAATATTTTAACTACCACATGAGCTTCTCCGTTAAATATTAACGGCATGTGGCTTAATTGAATGCATTTAAATAGTTGAGTGACATGTTTGATAAAATTTCAAAAATGGTGATCAAAATGAAAAAGGCAATAGGTATTTAACTTTTATACGTTGAGCCCTCAAAAAATTTAAATTTTTATAATTAAATTATCGATGCTCATCGTTAGTAATACTTATCGTGCTCGTCGAGGGTAGAAGAATCATCCTTAATCTATAGTTTTAATTTTGGTTGCTCATGATTCTGACAGTTCACAACACATAAGGTAAAGTTTTAAAAGAGTGAAGGGGTATTTAACTTTTTAAATATCAAATAGGGAAGGATATAAAGAAAAAATATATATTGAAATATATTGCTGTTAATTTTAGTTTGTTAAAGAATAGTATAAGCTTAAGTTTTATACTTTAGCAATTTGTTTGTATTTTATATTTAAATATATTAATAGTAACTAACATTTAAAAAGCTTAGATAATTTCTTATATTTCAGGAAAAAAATTTCTCCACAATTTTTCCCTGATCAAATAAACTTATGCATGCATCAACAAAGTTGGTTTAAGGGGTAAGTAGCTTGATATCGCTTAAGCAATGTCTCTGGTTCAAGTCCTTGTATGTATAGAAAATCCATGTTGGAAGACTCACCCACCAAAACCATGTGTGCAACCCGAGTCGGCTTAGATTAGTTAGAGCGAAGCATTAGAACTGGAGAGCAACAAAAAAAAATAAACATATGCATGTAGCATGCATGAAATGATTCAGGATTCGTTTGTTTGGAATAATAAATATGTTTTAGGGTTTGATCATTGGTCTCTAGTTGAAGTGAAAATTGAGTGACTTTATTATAACTGCGTGAAATCTAATATTTTCAATGAATAAAATAGATCACATCAGAAAACTGTCTAATACTTAATGATCTAATGATTTATTTCAATATTTGTAATAATAGATTAATTGAGTGGCTCATTTATAATCTTACTAATAATCAAGTGGCTTGTGTGTAATTTACTAAAATATTCCTTCTAGGTTTCTGTCTACAATTTTCCATCCTGGTGAAGAATATAGAAAAATAAATGCGGACCTCAAATTTATTCTTTTATATGCACATTATATGGAAAGATGGGCAGTAAATTGATGGTTTCAGCATTATCTTTTTGAAATTATTTTCCTGTTTATTGACTCCTTGTGTTCAAATATATTCAAAATAATACCCAGTGGACTAGGTAATATAAATTTATACAAATTCCGGAGTCTGGGTTCCAGGAACCAGGTTTATCGTTGAATTGAAAAGGATTATCATGGATAGAATGACTTGACACAAGCCATAATCTAATACCACAAATATATATAGTTGACTATAATTAAAGCCTGGAAAGTAAGAAAAAATTTACAGTGACAATGGAAGTTTCATGTAAAGTTCCGGAGGCATGGATGGTCAAAGTCAATCAGTCTTTTTATTAGGTGAGATAAGTGGTGAATTTAGGTAGTTAATGATGGGATTAAACTTTATTACCTGGTTTAATTTAGTGATCACTGACCTAAACTTTTGAGTTTTAAAACTTGCAGTAGGTTTACTTTTTATACAGACGGATGCAAGATTTTACGTAGAAGAGCTAAATTTATAAAATTTTAAGCCCTTCCATTTGACCTATCTCTACTTGTATAAAAATACAAGTATGTGAATAGTTTATACCCTAATAGTGAAATAAGTTAGGGTTCAAGAAAAGCTGAAGTCTTCAAGCACCTAATAAACCTGCATGATATGTAGTCGTGCTTAAGAATAGTTTGGTCAGCTTATTGTTCATATATATATGTATATATATATATATATCCAGTCGACTTCAGCTAGCACTAAATGTAAAGACCAAAGACCAGAATAATGTTGATCATAGTTGGGGGTCTTAATCACTTTTGACTTGTCCAAATATTTAGGCATGTTGTTTCAACATCAACCATTGAAGCTTCCTGCAAGTGTCATAGGAAGGTCATGGCGAAACCACCTTGCAGATAATGAAGCAGAATGTAATATATGTATAGGTGTATGCTGCTACCATTAGACAGCAGGTCTTTTGGCTTATCTATCTAGATGTCTAACGATGATTTTAGGCCGCTGGACTCAGCGGAAAGCGACCGTGTCGATCGATCCGATTTCGAGATCCCTGATGAATGGACTTTCGACGGTTGGCTCGAGGATTATCCTGAATCTGTCATCTCAGGGCCAATTCAGATTCCTTTTGATCAAGCTAATGAAATTAATGATTCTGCTGGCACTAGCAGCCTCCTTCAAGTACCTGGTATTGAAAATTACTTGGAACTTGTTGACATTTTTATATTATGTGTTCATTGAGTGAGAATCTTGCTTCTCTGTGTTGATAGGAGAAAATGAAACTGTGAGGGAGAGGAGGGAAGTCAAAGGAAGATATGCATTCAAGACGAAAACCGAGGTCGAGATACTCGATGATGGATACAGATGGAGGAAATATGGGAAGAAAATGGTGAAGAACAGCCCAAATCCGAGGTATTTTAGCCAACGCTTGTATGGATTTATTCTTTAAAATTAAGGTTGTACATCTCTGCTGTATTCATTTCTTATTGTCTGATCGATAGGAACTACTATCGATGCTCAGTCGAAGGATGCCCCGTGAAGAAAAGAGTCGAAAGAGATAAGGACGATCCGAGTTACGTAATCACAACATACGAGGGGATCCACAATCACCAAAGAGCTTCTTGAATCAGTCGACTGTTCACTATTACTATCTCAGAGCCAACTCCTGCAGAAGGCCAACATCAATCTGCAATGATCACATAGTCCGCGTAGAATATCAAAAAAGTCTCTGTCCATTTCTATCCATGTAAGTATCTGTAAGAAAATCCAAGGACCAGACTACAAGAGCTTTGGCAGAACCCTGAGTTTCAATTATAAGTTGATCCTATATAGTGTTAGCGGCACGAAGTCGGGGTCTGTTTTTAACTTGGGAGAACCGGTTGAGGTTGTTCAGATCTGTTCGTTGAACACCTAATGTAATATCTCTGATAATAATCCAAAATCGTCAATAAAATTATAGACTTCTTGGTGAGCCAAGTGATTGCATCAAGATAGTAAAAAGGCACAGAAAAATGCAGACAACTTTAGCAGAAAAATTGGTTGATACATGCATACATGTTAAACGGTCAAAATCCGCAATCTACAACAAAATTCGACGACTTGATTTAGGAAGATGACATTATGGTTTCGAGAATGTGGACCCGAATTTGTCAATTCTTTCAAACGCATAACTGTTCCGTCGACATTAATGGTTAGACTCCACAGCATAATCTCTGCATGCATTTTTCTCATCACTGAAGGGTAGAACCTTACAACTGCCTTTGACTTCGAAAATGTTTTCTTATTGGAGTTAGCTGTGCCACTGGCAAGCAACCAGCCTGTCGAAGACTGTTGCTGTGCTTTGCTACCCCAATGATGCTGCTTATCGGGCTCGGTATTTAACCCTGCAAGATGGACTTTGGTGATATTGAACAATGGAGTGCCATCTTTTTCCTCTTCAACATCGGCCTCAAGGATGTAGTTGCAGGTTCCAGTGCAACTTGTTGCATTGTTTTCCCAGTAATATCGTCCAAGGGCATTAATTTCTTCACCTGCACTGATAGATTTTCGATTCCCAGTGAAGCCAAGTTTTGTAATATCCCCATGACATCAGTGTCGAGTATTGCAGGAAATACAGCAGCTCTAGATACTTGCGTGGCAAGGTTCCCAACATTTTTACAACTTATAAAATGTGAAGGATTCATAGAACGCAAGGCACCTCCATCCTTTGTTGGAATGAAATGTCGAAAGCCTTCTCCTAACAGAGGTAATTCAACTTGTTCTGATGAAAGCTCTATTGGACTTCCGAATCCAGCAGTTCGAACACAAGGAGAACCTTCAAATGCCTTCTCATCTAAGCCCCACTCACGCATCAAAGCTTCGGTCTCCAAGTATTCAAGCATTTTGACTGATCTTTTGTTTGCCAGTGACACACTTTCCTCCTCCTGCTCCTTGCTGGGTGGAATAACCGAAGAGAAACCAAAATCATCACAATCCTCACCACGAAAAGGACCAGGAGTGGTGGATCCAATTTCGTCCTCTTCTCCCCCACCACCGAAATCTAAGATGAAATCACAGTCTCGAATTCTCGCAACAGGCCCTCCCTTGGAGAGAATCAAGAGTATCGTCAGAATTCAAGCGAAATGGACCGTGTTCAATTTCCAGCATCTTTAAGAAATCACTAACTACAGTATCAGCAATTTCATCCAAGCTTGGTGATTCCTTTGTCAAATTGGTAGCCTTATAATGTGATTTAACCTCCAGAAACTTTTCATGCTCGCTGAACTCATCCAAAGCAGATAAAGATTCCTATACAGACGATTCTCTGATCATTAGTTTAGAGCATATACTCTTCTCTAGTATGCATTCATCTGCACCTTCCTCCTCTGTGCGAACATTGGAGCAGTAGACATTTAAAACATGTTCTGCCTTCTCGTCAATATCAGTGTCACGGTCTTTAAGCATCTCATCCATATCGATAGTTTCAATGGCAGAGCCATCAATAGCCTGAATAACAATTTGTTCGACCTTAGACTGACCATTCTGACACATTTCTACACCCTTTTCTATAACAGAAAATTCGATAGCAGCCTCGTGAGATCGATCCAATCCTCTCCCATATCATGCCCTGAAGCTCCGACGGACGCACAGATTATGAAAAGCTTGACCCTTATACTTTAGCAGAATTACAAGGCCCACTTCTACTACCTTACAACATTTAACCATTAATGTCTCTTCAAATTCGACGATTCCATTGACGACACTCACTGCATGAGTAGACAACAGTTCCTCCTCCCCCTTCCAATACACACATAAACTCTCGTCATTGAAATAGGCAGGCAAGCCTTCAATAGAAAGCACACGGAAAAAGAAACAAATATCGAACCAAGGAGGCCTTATATGAGTTAATGCTTTAAAGGGGTTCTTCCAATTTCACAATGATGGTGAAGAAGATAAATTATGCTTTGATTTTGATTCAAAAAGATGGGTTTTTCCAGCAGATTTATATCTAACATTGGGGGTGGTAATCAAAGCATTCGATGAAGGTTTTTTCTGCCAGTTAAGTGCTTTACTTATTTCCTCAATGTCACGCAACAACCGAGTATTATTAGAATCAGAAATCCCATCATTTATCATTTTCAGATATCCTTCAACAACCCCAATTTTCTACAGATGTCTTCAACAAAACTACTCGAATCATTAAGTCATGCACCACAAACGAATGAAAAAATGAATATCTTTAAAACCCATGAAGGAATTAACCAAAGGAAATTGTTTTACTCGCTTGAAATCTGATTCTTTTTTTCCTGTCAGAACAAACAGAAAATAAAACCAAAGCCCTTGTCTATTTCAGTAGCTCATCTTTTTGACTAAAAACAAAGTAATGAACTCTCAAAATTGATACAGGGATTTTCTTGGACCTTTTAAATTTTCTTTTATCTAACCATTTTTCTCTGTATTTTCACGGAAAGTAGAGGGAGAGGGACCAAACAAAAATGGAAAAGAAGTTATGCTGTCTGTCTTTGTTATAAACAGGCTTTTTCACCCAAATATCACCAAAACAAAAATTAATTCCTTTGATAGTATGTTAATAAAAAGCCATGAAACGTCACCATTAGTGTTCTCGTCCGAATTTACTAACTTTTATAAACACCATGGAGTCGAAATTAATACAAAACAAATGCCTCACTGAGTGATTTTTTCAACTCGGAGGCACAATGAATACAATTTCCCACGATGTCTGAAAGCATGGAAATCCACATAATCGCCTATTTCCTACGGCATGGCTAACGACTTATAATACCCAGAACTCGAAACAATGGAGATGTACCAGAAATACAATGGTGAGTGCTGCATATTCTATATATGTGTACATACAAAAGAAGAAAAGAATTCAAACCATATGGAATTTTTGTCATATGGAAAAAGTTCGAGAAACTAAATCATGGCTTACTCTTGAATTTCCTTTGAGCTTTCAGATCCAACACAAGTACCGTGATGTTGTCCTTGCTTCCTTTTTGGAGAGCTCGGTTCGAAAGGTACTCGGCTGCTGATTGAGCCGCAAGGTCAATTGTTTCTCCCCTTTCTGAAGTCAGGGTTGCACCGTTCTTTTTGTGCCATTGAAGTATTCGTCTACGAGCCAGGTCGCATGCTTCTTCGTTTGTCATAACGTCCCATAGACCGTCACTGGCTAAAATGAGGCATTCGTCTTCTTTCACTCTAGGGACAAACATTACTTCTGGTTCTGGAATGATCCATGGCTTCAAATATCTATCACCTGAAACAACAAGAATGATCATCCTCGTTTTTGTTTTAATTATTCCGTCAACTCAAATTATTTACCACGTATCAACCCGGCGCACGAACATGTACAATATTACGACTTCTTTTTCCCAACCCAGCAAAAGAAGCTTATATTACCAAGCAAATACCCTTGATGCATGAAAAGAACAACACAATCAAACGCATGAAAAGAAAAGCATGCATAGATGTTTATAATCTATTACTCTCTTTAACATCCACCGATCACAATTCAATCGAGCGCTATAGAATAGCTACGTATTCTATCGAAAAAGCTAGAATCAAACCAGGTGTAAAATAGATACTGCAGATGCCAAGCCTACATAAGTGAGCAAATTTTATGTATAGTAATCTACAAGAGATAAATCTTGTATTCTGCTTTGCATATAGGCGAAACCTTAGAAACACGATAATGACTGAAGTTCAGAAGGCATAAACTGAAGACATACCAATGGACCTTGACATTGCAAGAACACCAAAAACCCGATGTCCATTCCATTGAATAACCTTGCCTCCAGCTGCTTCGATCCTTTCATATTCGTCTTCTCGATTAGGCTACGGAATATGAACAGAATAAAGAGAAGGGTATAAGTACCCAACAGTTGATGAACAAATACGATAAGATATAAAGGCAAAATTCACAATCTCTTACTTTATGATCCACGGACAAAGCCATGGGCTCTTTACCACGACATAGAACTGCCCTTGAATCTCCACAATTTGCTACAACGATATGAGAAGAACAAATAAGGGCAACAACAGCAGTAGAACCAACTGTTTCCGGGGCAACAGGTTCATGACCAGCTTGTCCTTCGACTTCAGCATCGACTTTAACGAAACAATTACTGAATGCCTTTTTCCACAGTTCTTGGCAACTATGGGTTGCGTTTCCATTGCTCCAACATTCTTTAGCAAACTCTATTTGCTCAGACAAAGCACAGTGAAGCCGGTTTCGACAGTAGTTTGCAACCTGTATAACAGTAAACAACAACAACAAAATTTATTTCCTAAACATGCAATGTGATTTTAACAGACGGGATACAAAGAAAATCGTAAAACCAACCTGTGAACCTCCATGACCATCATAGACTCCGAAGAAATGAGCAGTCTGGTGAGCAAAGCCCTTGCTCATGCCATCGAATACCCTATCGCCAATTAGCATTTCGATTGGAACCTTTACGAATCGCGGCACAGCAGCCACTACATCTTCCATCTCAGGTCTCCTTCCACATATGGAAGTAAATCCCCAAAGAGGCACGTACTCCACCTCGAACACACTGCGCGGAACCGGAACTGTCATAGTAGTTTCTTCCTTTTGGAGAGCCAATTGAAGAACCCTTCAGATAGTTTCTCTTCAGGCCCATCTCCAACCTCTTCTTCATGGCTTACCGCCACAGCTATGGGATCACTAACAACGTCTGTTTCTACATTCGACTCCACAAATTTGGTGGCTTTCGCGATAATATCCAAACCGCAAATGTTTTTTTCGAAGTCTACAATAGAAGTGGCATCGAAACCTAGGAAATCCTCTCCACAAAAGCTACTAGTCTCACTTGCCACAGATAACGAACAGCAGCTATCGATATCACAAACACGATAGCCTTCCAAAGACAAAGAATCATCTTCCTCACTTTCTTGGGCCATAATATCAGCACTAGCAATGCAAATATTTTTAATTCCAGA